TCTTTAACTGCTTCTGTATTTTCACTCATACCTTTTGCTATTTCTGGGATGTAAGGGAATTCATTTCTGTTTTCTTCTAATAAACGTATGGTTTCACTTTTTTACATTTAGACCTCTGATTCATTTAACTGGTATAATCTTCTTGGGTACTTAATTTCTAATTATAAATGAGTTTTCAGTGTGGCCAAATTATTGCCCATGGTAGAAAAGTTTCCCGATGTACTTTCTGGATTTAGGTTGTATAAAATTTTAAGCCTCTTCAACATACAATTCTGTCCCAATTCCAATTATCTTTTAAAAATCTTACTCATTCTGTCAGGTGTAAGTATATAATAGTTTAATATGCTTTTTTTGTTATTTATGCCATTGAACCTGTTTTCATATATTTATTGGATACTTATATTTCTTCCTTTGTGAATTGCCAGTATATGTCCTTAACCTAACTTATTATTTCTTTTGTTTTTAATTTATTTATTATTTTGAAAGAGAGAGCAAATGTGAGCAGGGGAGGGGCAGAGAGAGGAAGAAAATCCTAAGCAGGCTCCATGCTATCAGAGCAGAACCCATCATGGGGCTCAATCCCACAAACCGTGAGATCATGACCTGAGTCGAAGTCAAGAGTCAACCGCTCAACTGACGAACCACTCAGGTGCCCCTGAGAAAGGTCTTTCATACCCAGAGATTATCTAAATATTTCATCTAATCTTCCAAATTTTCTTCAATCTTTCCTTCTGTTTTTATTTTATTTTTTTTTTTTAATGTTTATTTTATTTTTGAGAGAGACAGACAGAATGTGAGTGGGTTAGGGGCAGAGAGAGAGGGAGACACAGAACCCGAAGCAGGCTCCAGGCTCCGAGCTGTCAGCACAGAGCCCCACGCGGGGCTCAAACTCACGAGCTGTGAGATCATGACCTGAGCCAAAGTCGGACGCTCAACCAACTGAGCCACCCAGGCGCCCCTGTTTTTATTTTATTTTTAAACATGTATCTTTAAAATATTTAAAAGTTTATTTTGGTGCGTTGTAGGCATCAAATTTTATTTTTTCCCATTTGCTGAATTATTCTTTACCTCATCCCCCCAAGATAGGAAATATCCACAGGGCGCCTGGGTGACTCAGTGGGTTGAGCATCCAGCTTTGGCTCAGGTCATGATCTCGTGGTTCGTGAGTTCGAGCCCTGCGTTGGGCTCTGTGCTGACAGCTCAGAGCCCAGAGCCTGCTTCGGATTCTGTGTCTTCCTCTCTCTCTCTGCCTCTCCCCCACTTGCCGTCTTTCTGTCTCTCTCTCAAAAATAAACATAAAAAAAAGATATGAAATAATCCTGTATTTCATTCACTGAATTTATTTTTGCACAGCCATACTGCGCCTGGACCTCCTGTTCTGTCATACTAGTGAAGCTTTCACTAACTGCCAGCATCATATTCTTGTAGTTTTCATGAAGATTTAATATCTCATTGTTGAAGTGCCCCTCTATCACACATATTCCTTGTCTTTTAAATTTCTCTTTATCTATGTTTTAGAATAATTTCGCATGGCTTCATTGCAATTCATTTGTCCTGTGCCTCTGTTACCACCTCTTTTCTAGTAAGAGAACTCCACATGGGACTTTGAATAGATGTGTAGTTTATTCATAGATTAATTGGGGAATGCTTACATCTTTACAATATCGAGTGTTTCCTTTTATTCATTCCTCTATCAGTATTTACTACATAGTCGCAATGTGCCAGGCAGGTCCTAGATGTTTTTTAGGTTTTGTTGGTGTTGTTAATGATGTTTAAAAATAATGATGAAAAGAAATGCTCCCTACCTAGTACTTAAATTTAGAAATGCCCTGGATTTTTTTTTTTTTTTTTTTTTTTTTTTTTTTTTTTTTTTTTTCATTTTAAGATTGATTACCAGACTGACTTCTTCTCTGGTTTCTAGTAATTTGTCAGTGGATTCACCTAACTTTCCCAAAAAGACTTATCCATTTATATATCATGATGATTTCATCTCCTTCTTTCCAGCCCTTGTGTATTTCTTTAACTTGTCTTATTGCGTTGGTTACAACTTCTAGACCAATGTTGGAAAATATTACGGTTAAGGTAGTAATGTTCCATTCTTAGTTTTCTTTCTTTCTTTTTGTTTTGTTTTTAATTAATTTCCCCTGTGCTGTATCAATCATACATTTGTTCTGTTTGTAACCATTAACACTGTCGGATTTAGTATTAGATTTTCTAACATCAAACTGTTCTTAAATTACTAGGATAAATTCTACTTGGTGATGGTATGTTGTCATTTTAACGTAATTCTGAATTTGCTTTGCTAATATTTTTAAAGACTTTTGCATTTTATAATCCTCACAGGAGATTAGCATGTGGTTTCTTTTTTCTTTTTTTCTCTCCCCCATCCCCTCTCCACCCCCTCACCCCACTCCCCAGTATCTCTGTCAGTGATTGTTATCAGGGTTGTGTTAGCTTAAAATATGAGTTAGGCTCTCCATCTTTTTCTGTGCTTTGGAAGGTTTCTTGCAGATTATGATGATGGAAAACTTTTCCTGGTTTTAAAAGTAACCATTTTTCTTATAAAATATTAAAAAAATCCACTACTTAGAGATAATCGCCCTTGGCATTTTGAAGTATTTAGTTCTTAGATTGATTTTTTTTTTCTCTGTGGGTGACATTTCATTTTAGGACTTGGTTTTTTTCTCTTTTAATAAATTATGCTGGCTATCTTTCTATGTCGACAAATCGAGGTTTCCGTCATACTTTTTAATGGCCACATACTCTTTGATCTCTTGAATGCTTTTGAGCTTTAATTTCGTAGACTGCTCTTCGGTTTGGGGCGCGCGCGCGCGCGTGTGTGTGTGTGTGTGTGTGTGTGTGTGTTGTGCTATGTTTGTTTGTTTTACTCTTCTTGAACGAGGGGCAATCTGCTCTCCGTGGTATTTCCTCATAAACACTGTGGGTGGTTTCTCCGTGGTTCCCAGAGGTATTAGAATAGTTAAGGTTAGACTTTTCTTGGCTGCTGATACCTTTGAGGGTTGCTTGATGTGTGTGAGCCCTCAGCCAGCCTCTACTGTTCTGCTGTTTTTCCCTTAGTGTGTGTGACCCTGCTAATCCTAGGGAGGGAGTCCTCCCTTCCCCTGAAGTTATGTAATTGCTACTTCGAGCAAGGTAGCAGATGAAATCTGCGCTAGTCTGTCTTTTCACACCTATCTCTGATTTCCCGCGTGGCTGGCTGTATTTAATTTACATGGGCAGTTTCAGTTTTCATATTTTCTCAGTTCCCTAGAGGTTCTCTCCCTACCTTCCTCCATCCTTTAACATAGCACTCAAGAGTCACAAACAGCAGTTTCCTCTGGGTTTGTAGAACGACTAAGAAAATCTATACACTCCTGGAAAAAGAGTCACTGGTGGTGAGCATCGTTATAAGAACACACTGCTACAAAACTTTTAAATGGGTTTTAAGTAAACCAGTGTGTTCAGAGCAGACTGGCGGGATTGCAGTGAGACTTGACGTCTTGTCATTTAAAGCGAGGTTGAAGACACTTGTGTTTTTCACTGGCGAATGGGGTAGATGCTCAGGGGACAGGATTCAGACTGTGAGGGCCAGGGGTTGGTTTCCTGTCACTGTCTACTCAGGTCTGGGCTGGCTCTCCACTTGGTCACCTTATACAGCGGATGCAAGCATCAGGTGGGGGGCTGGACCAAAATTTGGATACCTTAGAACCCTGAAGGTGTCCTTGGGAAGTTAAGCATCTGCCAGCTGGTCCTTGAAGGAATCATAATGTGTTTACGTGATGTTTTTAGTAGCTCCCCCACCTCTGGACTAGCATACTTAGGATGTGTTCTTTTCTTTCCAGCTGACCGTGACAATCAGAGCTTTGTTGCAGAGTCTGAAGGAAAAGATCGCCCTTTTGAAGGACTTATTGCTAAGAGCTGTGTCAACACATCAGATGTATCCATGTAAACATTTCCACCTCTTCTCTAGAGTGGGAGGAAAAAGCAGTCTTATTTGGAGAAAGGAAGGAATCCGGGCCACCCAGATTTTTTTCCATAGCTCGAGGAAGACCTGGTTTCCCAAATATTGCCTATAATCTCGATTTCTATTTTAAGTGTCTGTTGCCCTGCTCTACCGTGAAAATGCTGGCGAGGCGAGCATATACTGATGGAATTAAGTACCGTGGCCGTTCTTGGGTGTGACCTTGACAGTGTAGAGAGCTAGTGCTCTCGTCGGTGCTGTCCTTGCCCAGAGCCCTGCGCTGCCACATGCCCCGAAGATGGTGAGCCACTGCTCCCACAGGAGGCCTTCCGTGATCATCCCGGGCTGGGATCATGCTGGACTTTCCAGAGCTCTGAGTGATCCATTTTCTTTTTCTGAGAGGCCAATGCCAATAGCCACCATAGACTTTCGGGGTTCTTTTCTTTTCTTTTCTTTTTTTTCTGTTTATGTAGATCTGGTTGCCTTGCTTTAATGTTTTTGTGAAAGCACTAGATCCCGCACTGGTCCCTCTTTTGGGGAGGTTTGGGAGTGTGGGCGGGGAACAGAGCATTTACTTGAAGCAACTTGGGCCATCACCCCCACCTCCCACCTACCCTGCCAAGGTGAAGCCTTTTTTTTTTGTTAGAAGTTCATCATTTTATCAATTTAAAATCCATGTGACCCATTCCGTAAACCAGTCCTTTATTTTTTATTTATTTTTGAAGCTTTTTTTTTTTTAATGTTTATTGATTTATATATTTTGAGAGAGAGACGGAGTGTGAGCAAAAGGGGGAGGAACAGACCAGCGGAAGACACAGAAAGCTCCAGGCTCGAATGCTAGCCAGCCAGAGCCCTGATGGGGCTGTCACAATTCCGGAACTCACAGACCTGGTGAGATCACCACCTTTGAGTCAGTCCTGGACGTCCAACCTAACTGAGCAATGTCTAGGTGCCCCAGAATAATTTTTTTTTCAAATCTTTTTTTAACTTTATTTGTTTTTAGAGAGACAGACAGAGCATGACGAAGGACCGAGAGAGAGGGAACAGACAAAGCAGAATGAAATACAGTCAAGCTCGGCAGTCAGCACAGAGCTCCCGGGCTTGAACACGTGGAACCCAAGAGAGTGACCTGAGCCAAAGTCCAGATGTCGCACTGAGCCACCCAGGCACCCCCTAAACCAAAGTCCTTACCTGAGTTTTTTGGGCTTGAAAACTAGTCTCAAACTGGTCTTCTCTTCATCATTTCTTCAATTGTCAGCCTCAACAAAAAGCCAGATGTTGGCAGGTAGCTCAAGAAATGGTGATTATTTGCCTGATTTTTAAATGGGAGAAGGTAGGAATATTGCTTTTCAGACAAAATCATAGAAAATAAGTTTAACAATTATTTTCAGTGGGCAACCCTTATGCTACCAGGGAGGTTCATTTAGATTAATCTCGCGATTTTCCAAATATTCAGTTTAACCTTAAGGTTACAAGAGAAGTTTAATTTTAATATAACAACAGGGGCCTTATTTTTTTAACACAGGGAGGTTCGTTTTAGATTAACTGATTTTCCAAATATTCAATTATTAACACGCTAAGGTTACAAGTAGAAGTTTAATTTCAATAAACAACAGGGGCCTTTTTTTAAAAATTTTTTTTTAATGTTTGTTCATTTTTGAGACAGAGAGCAGAGCATGAGATGGGGAAGGTCAGAGAGAGAACAGGGAGACTAGTTGAATCTGAAACTAGCCAGGCTTGAGCTGTCAGCATAGACTCAGCACGGGGGGCTTGGAACTCACAGACCACAGATCATGATTGCAGCCGGGAGTCGGACCTCAACTGACTGAGCCACCCAGGCGGACAGGGGCCTTATTTTTTAACATGGTTGGAATATTCTTTAAAAAATTTTTCTTAATGTTTATTTATTTTTGAAAGGGGGAGAGAGAGAGAGACAGACAGACTGTGAACGAGGGAGGGGCAGAGGGAGATGGAGACACAGAATCCAAAGCAGACTCCAGGCTCTGAGCTGTCAGCACAGAGCCCAACGTGGGGCTCGAACTCGCAAAGTGTGAGATCATGACCTGAGCCCAGGCGCCCCAGCACAGTTGGAATAGTCTGATACATTTACTTTGTAACTTTACCCCCTATCTGGTATCGTTTATTACTGCACAGTATTATAAAAAAAGTTTTTATTTTATCAAAATCAACAAGTCCTGTTATGTAGACCTCAGGTAGTTTCCAATCGGCTTGGCTATTTTCTCTACTTTGAGTACCAAGTGTCAGGAAGTCTGCATGTCAGGTAAGGTGTGCAAACTCATTTTGCTGTTACCTAAAGCATGTGTGTTAAAAAGGTAACTAAATCACTGCTTCACGGTATAATATGAACAACTACCAACTTGGTAACTTCCATAAACATAACTTATTATTATTCATTTTATAATATTTATGTGCTCAACTATAGGGCAAAAAAAGAAACAAATTAAGAACCCTTCCTTTTTCACTGTTAGTAATTCCTGCTGGTTATTAGTTATGGAGAAGCATGTGGCAGTAATAATGGACTTGACTTTGTTCTAAATGCCTTCAGCCAGACCATCTTTTGAAATCCCTTAGACTTTGGTTTTGTGGTCATCTCACAATTTGCTGAATGAAGCACTAAAAATCTCTAAAAATATTTTAAAATATTGAACAGAGTTATTAAATACATTATGAAAGTACTTAAGGATGTTAATGCAGATAATTTAGAATTTTGTAGGACAAAGCAAAAACCCAACTGGACTGTAACAGTATTCTTTCTTAGGTATTTTTTCAAATGATTGGGTCTGTTTCTACTAGAAACACAACCCTTGCTAGGACAGAATTCAGATCACCCGCCTCATGGGGGCGCTCAAGACCTCTGTATTTTCAGGGAGACCGTTTCTGCTGATAGAATGGAAAGGAAGTAGTTTCTCTAGTATGAAGGCCTCTTGTTAACTCTTTTTCTGTTCCTCACATCTTCCCTTCCCTTGCCCTTTCTGTTCGCAACTATTTCAAATAATTCCATAGCAGTTATCCTCCAGATTTAAGATGTGTCAGGTGGCCACTTGTGAGTCCTAATAACCTCATATTATTAGTCTGTGTTGATGGCTCCTTATTTTCTTTACAAAAAAAAAAAAAAAAAAGGTAGTGAGGCCAGGCCAACCTTTGCACCCCAAGTCAGGGACGGAGCTGGAAAAAAAAAATCCCACATCCCAGCAGGGGAGTGTTTTACACTGAGGAGAGGAATCTGAGAGCTTAAGTAACTTGCCCCAGACCCCACAGCCGGGGAGGGGAAGAACTTGGACTCAGATGCAGGGCTGTCTGGCCCCAAAGCCAGTTGTTTAAAAGCTGAATTCTACCGTAGTAGAAATAACACAGTCATCTGTCACCTGGCCTGTCTTCAGCTAGAATTCCCTATTAATTGGCATGTTGCTGTAGTGCCAAAACAAATCCTGTTTATAACGCAAATCCTCAGGGCCCTCCTTAATCATCAGAAAGATTAAACAGTGTTCACTGCGCTTTATTAGGTATACTTTATGATGTTGTAATTCTTAGAAAATTTTTTGTCCGTAAATCGCCAACAGAGTGACAGTTTAAGCCTTTCTTTTCTTGAGGCATAATTAATGCCGGGTGACTTTTTTAATGTGAATATTCGAATACCACATTCCCTTACCGCGTTGGGTAGTTGAGAGTTTACAGCACTTTACTTCGTAAATTTATGCGTTTGTGAAGTTCTCCAAAGAACACCAGGGATTGCCAGAAAGATAAGTCCTAAGCACATGCCTTCGAAACAGCTAAATTCATGGAGTTAAGGCCTGAGACATTGTTGCTCTTTCTTGGAAAAGTATTTTCTCCTGGCAAGAAGAGATGCGAAGTTAAAATGAAAGTCCTGTGCTTTTGAATCGGTTCGTTTGCGATTCGTAAACTAAAGTCCTGCAGCCAGAGAGTTTCAAATTGCTGAAAACCATTCATTTCCATTCACAGTGCTTCTTGGAGACAGGAGGGATTCATTGCTTCTCTGGTTGAGAAAAGTCGTGTGCCACGGGAGGCTTGTGTGTGAAATGTCAGGTAGTAGCAAAATTATTCTTAGACTTGGCCTTACGCGAGCTCGTCTTTTTGTTGGGTTTTCAAAGGCAGCATCTTTACTAAGTTGAGGAGAATTAAAAAATCTCTTTACAAAGGGGTTCAGTATAAAAAGGTATTCTGGTGTCTTGGGAGAAGTCCTATAGAAATAGTTTTTCAAAAGTATAAATAACTTTTTAATTTATTTGGAGAGAGAAGGAGTGAGCAGGGGAGGGGCAGAGAGAGGGATGGGGAGACACCAAATCCCAAGCAGGCTCTTCTGCACTGGTAGTGGGGGGCTTGCACTCACCAACTGTGAGATCACAACTTGAGCCGAAATCCAGAGTCGGATGCTTAACCGACTGAGCCACCCAGCACTCCTAAATAGCTTTTCTCCGCTTTGTCTTTTTTTAGGGGGAAAAAAAAAACTAGGAAGATAGGTAGATGGATAGACGGTTGCAGTGATCACCATAACTGAATGCGGATGTTGGGGGGCTAACCCGGTAGATTTTAGGGAGAGCCCTTGTGGTTCTCACACACTCCACTTGTCCGTGACAGTTTTCACCGAGAAGAGCGAGGGTAAGATCGTGTTTATGGCGGTAGGGATTTTCTTCTTTATGCTCTCTTACGTTCTTTCTAGTTTTCCGTGTTAAAAGCTCCTTGCTTTGTTACCACGATAATAAAAATAGATGCTAGTTTGGTCTGCTGTGGTTTTTTTGAATATCCATACCTGGCAAAGTGTCTAATTGGCAACTTTTACGTAAGTCTCCCACCACCCCCGATTTGTTTGGACACTTTTCTGCTCCATGAAGTCCAAACATCTGGGCACCGTTGGTGTGGCGGGAAAAATGCTGGCTTTGGAACCAGACGGAACTGAGACTGAGGGCCAGCTCTGCCTCTTCCTCAAGGCCAGAGAG